TTAATTGAACAGCTTGTTAATCGAATAAAGTGCTTCCGGACTCAACGGTTTCCGTTTCCTAGTTATACCGATGTCCGAAGAATCATAGTGAAAATTTGATCATTCACATGATTCTTGTCACGATGCGTGTCGTATAGTCATAATAATAATAACAATTATAACAATTAACAAACAACAATTTTATTTTTGGAAAATATGGAAGTGCCATGCTTTTGTACTCCCAAAGCAAATTTCAGTTGTAGAATATTGGTGTAAATGGTAGCAAGTCCATTAGGAAGAGTATTTTCTGGTGAAAAAAATAGCAAGGTAATTCGAGTGGCTTGTTTGAAACGTTGTAAAGGTTAGAAATACAATACAAGAAACGCTGAGATGTATTTCTCCATTTATGATTTTAAGGTGACCCTTTCCTGCTCTTTTATAGGTAAGTTGGATGAATGGATCTAAAATGATGAATAACGGATAAAAAATTGGGTAAGAAAATAAAAAAAGCAGTGTAGTGTCTTTCATCTATATTATAGTAAATGTTTTAATCAATTAGGAAAGTTCCATCTATCTTCGAAAATACTTTGATCAAGAGTAGTACCTTCTTCTTCGCTTGTTTCATTTACTCCGCATCTGTGTTACTTGTCATAGAATGTGATTACGTTGCTTTAATTTCTTTAAGAAAATTATCAAAAATCACTTGGAAGTCTATTATGTTTATCACTGAGAGTCATCGTTGATCAAGAATAAAATACAAATGACATGACAAAAAAATTAATTAAGTTCGATTTTAAATAAACAATATAATAATTAAATATAAAGTAATTTTATTTAAATATAAGTCTGATCATGTGTAATCTCTATATATCATTTCCTTGTCCATTCGTGAATGGCATTAGCATAAAAACGACTTCACGTTATTTTAAAATTAACTGACAGGACTTTGGCTAATCAGTTTCTCAGTTACACTGAGCAACGATAGGTCGTGCCATAAATTGTGATTAATTTTAGCAAACTCCCTCATGTTTTATAAATTTGTATTTATTTTAACAATAAAATAAACATTTTGGAGTAAGGCTCCATTAGCACCTATTATTATTTTTATAAGTATTTCCAAAAAATATTATTTCCATTCGTGTACAATAAAAAAAGGAAATTCTTGAAAGAAACAAACTATCATAGACAATAATTTTACTAAAACTCAATATCAAATAAATGATATGAATAATAATGAAGTAAGTATTATTATTTTATAGAATAATCTATTAAAGATGATACAAATGAAGAAATGAAGTATTTATAAAAATATATATTTTTATTCATGTACAATAAAGTAAAAAAAAAGGAAATTTTTAAAGAAACAACTCAATATTATTTACTAAAACTCAATAAATTTATTATCAAGATTGTAATCAAATAAATAGTAATATATACTTTCATTATTTTTATATTTTGAAGATATAAAAATTTTCCATCTACGATTACCTTAGTGCAAGATGATCGAGTCACGTTTTTACATAATCAATTATTCTCTGATGGATTATACAATGGTTCCATTGGTATAATATTTAAAGACTTGATGATGAAAATGTAATAGTTGAATTTCCACTAGCCCAAGTATAAAGTTGTTAAAGAAACAGGATACTTTAACATATGTGGTTCCCTGCACAATGGAAACAATTCCCACTATAAAATGCATTTGATTTAACTGTGCACAAACACAAGAATTAATATTACCCATTCCACAGTCTCAATTGATGAATCTATGTTTGCTGCTGGTCAAATTTATGGTGCCTTAAGTCAATCACCATGATGGAAATCTTTAAACATTACATCATTTGATTCATCAGCAATTAAAGTTTGATAAACAAATGTTAATTGAGTATGCAAGATTGAATGACATTTTAATAGATAAATTTGCAAATATAGACAGAGAATAAACAGAACTCATTAACAATATTAGAAGAACTTGAATTAAATAAAACACAAAGAAAATAAAATTGTTCTAGGATAAATATTTTTTATCCTAAGGAAACTATTCAATATTTATTCGTGTATTAGCGGCTTTATAATATTGCAAAAATGGAAAATGGAAAATAAAAAACCAAACTATTTTTTTAAATTCAATGAAAAGAAATATAAAGTTATATAATTCGTTATAAGCACCCACGTGGCTTTATTATTTAGGTTAATTTAATAATATACTGAAACGTTGGAAACATTGTTTCAAAATTTTCAAAAAAAGAAAAATCAAAAATTATTTATATTGTAGTAAAAATATCTGAATCATCACCAAATAAAATAAATATCTTATGGATTTTAAATAAATACCTAGTAACTTGTTTAACTGATAATATAAAAAAAAATAGTACAATAATTATAAAAAAGAAGTAAAAAGTGAAAAACAATTCTAATAATAAATAAATAAATTTGAAATAGTGAGTCTGAATTTGAAGGACCAGAAATTCCAAATTCTCGATTATCTGAATTTTTTTAAAAAAATAAAAAAATTAAATTATGAATCACGGAATTATATTAGTTGCCTAACGATTTATTTAAATTATTGGCTCCAATGCTTTTAAGATACCGACGTTCCATTTCTATAATTGCATCATAAAAATAATCTCATTAAATTGTATAATTAAATAACAAATAACGAATAAAAAAAGATCAATCTGTTTATAAAATAAGTATAATTATTTTTACATGAAATAAATAATAAGTTCATCCAAATAAAATTTTGAGTTAACTTACCTAATTGTTCTTCTATAAAAATTAAGAATAGTTTAAAATAATTAATAGTAAATAATAAAATCAAAATCAATAAGAAAAAGGAGTTAATATAAAATATATTTACCATCAGTGGCATTTCTAGGTTTAATTGGAATGTTGAATGTAAATAATTTACTATTTTGTATTCTATATTCTGTATTTTTGCTTAATGAAGTATTAATTTTTGAGTTTAATCTATTAGATTGAATATTTGTTTCTTGTTGTTTATCCTCATTATAAAATGGCAGAATTAATATTTTCATTTTCTGTTTTATTGTAATTGCATGAGGTCTATTATCAGGATTAGCATCCCAACATTGTTTCATTAAAGTCGCATATTCGTGTGGAATGTATTCATAAATCTTTGGTCGATATCCTTTTACTATATCAAGAGTCAAATCCAAATTATGTTCACAGTCATCAAATGGAGTTTCACCAGTCATTATTTCCCACATTAACATGCCCATACTATATATATATCTGATTTTGTTGTATATATTCCACCACAGAAAACTTCGGGAGCAATGTATGGGAGATTCCCATAAATACTATTTGATGGTTTGTTAACTGGACCGCTCAATCCTAAATCACCAATACGCCAGTAAACACCTAGTAGAATATTTCCTGAATGCAGATCTCTATGCGCTATATTTTGTTCATGAATTCTATCTAAATTAAATGCTATTTCATAAATAATATCATATTTTTGTAACAATGTAAGTGAGTAAAAATTATCTTTTAAAAAATGTCTTAAATCATTTTGATAAAAATTTAAAACTAACATATAATCTTGAGTGATTGGATCTTTTGTTATTCCATAACATGTAACAAGAAATGTATGAGTATAATCAAATGTGAAACTTAATGTCACCTATCAATTTTTTTGATTAGATAATTAATATTCTAAATATTAAACAAAAATTAACAAATGAAATAATAATAATTTACTTACTTCTTGAAACCAATGCACATTGAGACTATTTGAGTTATTCAACCTTTTCAAAACAATCTTTCGTCTTCCAGATCTTTTCAATGTATGTTTTTTAGAATTCCATTTTGTATAGTGTCCATCTTTCCAAATTGCAGTATAAATGGTAGCACATCCTCCTTCTGTCAGATGTTCAATATTCTCAAATTGATCATATTCAATCCATTCAATTACACAAGCAGGTGCTATAGTTTTTCGCTGACATTTTTGAATTAATTTATCAATCTCATTATTTCCAGATGTCCAATTTCCAAAATTATTTTCTAAATATTTACGAATACAAAATTCACAATATTGGGTTGCTTGATACCAATTATGACAATTGTTGCATTTTTGTTTTTCTGAAGAATTGCTGTTAACTCTTGCGCAATCATATGCACTCTGTAATTTAATAAGTAAAAAATTCTTTTCATTTTCGGTGAGAGATGAATCATTTTTAACCATATCTTTTCGATATTCTTCTTGTTCAGTAAGTGTTTTATGAATATTGGTGTTTAAAGAATAAAATGTTTTATCCCAAACATCGTTTAATTTCTCATTCCATATGATTTTTCGAGTAGTCATTCCTTATTTCATTTAAAGTTATTATAATTTAAATGAATACTGCAAAATGAATAAATAAATAATTTATTAGGTATAAATTATTTACAAAATAAAGTTTAATACGAAATTACCGTGGTTATGTTTTAATAATAGATTTATTATTTAAATTAACTTTAAAAACCGAATGATAATATAACTTTGTGCAATAGAATGAATAAATGGACGGGACGCAAAGAGATAAATTCACAGATTTTTATAACATTTTAATCGGAAGTTAAACGTTATTTCTAAAAATAAATTAAAACTGCAAATTACAAATAAAGAATGTTCTATAAATAAATTTTATTAAATATATATAATAAGGTAAATTTATATATATATGGAATCAATCATTAATATCATATTTTTCATAAACTATGACATAATTTTGTATAAAAAAATTTCTCACAATTATAATTTACTTACGGCTGGATGCTTCACTTGCCAATTTCCAACTGTTTTCATCTTTTAAATCCAATTAAAGTGTCGTTCTTATTTTTAGATCCTAAATTGAATTAAGCTCAAATCTTGATTCAAGATTCAAACATAATATATAAAATGGGCTCCTTTCGGTTGGAAATGTATGTCTATTGATATAACTGATCAATTTAATTAAATGATAAATTATAATAAATTATTAAGCATTAATTTATGACGCTTACCTTTTGTCCTTCGTTTAGTAATTAATGGCTTCCGCTAAATCTATTAAACATAATTTAACAGGATTTTGTTTATTTTTTAAGGATTCTTCTAGTCCTGGTACTTCCAATTCAACTCTATATAATAAAATATATTTGTAAGAGAAAGTAGACAGATAAAGAAATAAACGGACAGAAAGTTTGCTCTGCAACCCCAATTGTTGCCATCAAATATATCCAAAAATTTTTTAAATCATCTGCAATTATATTCCGAGCATTATTATTCCATTTAATAAAACTTACATTTAATTGTCAAGCCCACTGTATTATGTGCCCAACCTTTATGTGTATTATTCAGTGTATCATATAAAAAATCATATGATAATTCTTTTATTTATTTTAATCATTACTCTTAATGGTGCATTCAAAAATACCTTCATCCTCTCCTCCATCTCTCATCCATCTCATCTCCTCCTCTCTTGTCTCCTCTCCATCTCCTCCTCTTCTCATCTCCTCTCTCCATCTCCATCTCCATCTCCTCCCCCCTTTTTTCTTGTAACATTAATGAATATCAAGATTCATTTACAAAAGGATATTCTAATTTGATCAATTTCATTTAGATTCCACTAATATCCAATAATCTGATTCCTAATATACTGTATAATAAAAATAAAAAATATAGTGTACTGTATATATAATATAAATAGTAAATATAATAAAAATAGTTATAAAATTAATTAATGATAAAAACAGATAATTGAAATATAATAAATTAATTATAATGAAATAAATAATAGATTTACCTTCAAGTTGCTTTTTAATAGTATGAACATCATTATTTTCCTATAATTTTTAAAGCTTGATCAGGAACATCTTTTTCAAACGGCATTTCTATTTTTTTGATATACAGTTATACCAAGAAACACATAAAACATCACTCGTTTTACAAGTGGCATTAAAGAAATCACAAGTCCAAAATTTAAACAATTGTTTTTAAAGATTGGAATCCTAATTATCAACGCAACTTGCCGTTCGATTATTTTTAGAAGTTTCATATTGTTTGATTACGTGAATTTGAATTAGCTCTAAGTAAACAATTTTCAATTTCAAAACTGAATTGTTTTGAATCAAATTCTAAATATGTAAATATGAAATTATTTTAATATGAATTAAAATAGTAAATTCATCTGAAAAAAACTTTGAATTAACTTATCTAGTTCTTCTATAAAAATGGATAAGAAAATAAAATAAATAGTAAATAATAAAATTAAAATCAATAAGAAAGGAGTTAATATGAAATATATTTATCATCAGTGGCATTTCTAGGTTTAATTGGGATGTTAAATGTATATATTTTACTATTTTGTATTCTATAGTTTTTGCTTTTTGTATTTTTACTTAATTAAGTGTTTGTAATTACTTGATTACTTTCATCTTTTATTGATTTTAATTTAAAATAATTTTCGGCATTTGATTTTAATCTATCAGATTGAATATTCAATTCTTGTTGTTTATCCATTTCCTTGTATAATGATTTTATTGATCTGTAAATTTTATTTGCATCAGATCTATTTTTAGGATGAGCATCCAAACATTGTTTCATTAAAGTTGCATATTCGAGTGGAATATATTCATAAATCTTTGGTTGAAATCCCTTGACTATATCAAGAGTTAAATCCAAAACATGTCCAAGGTGATCAAAGGGAGTTTTACTAGTTATAACTTCCCACATTAATATGCCCATACTATATATATCGGATTTTGTAGTATATGTTTCACCACAATGAACTTCAGGAGCAATGTATGGGAGATTCCGCTCAATCCTAAATCACTGATATACCAGCCGGTAAATTGTGAATTATATAAAATATTTCCGGAGTGCAGGTCTCTATGTGTTATATTTTGATTATGAATTTCATCTAAGCTATCTGTTATATCAAAAATAATAGAATATTTTTGTAACAATGTAAGTGGGTGAAAATCATCTTTTAAAAAATGTCTTAAATCATTGTCATAATAATCTAAAATTAACATATAATCTTGGGTGCTTGGATCTTTGGTTAATCCTTAACATTTGGCTAGATATATAGAAGTATTATCAAGTGTGAAACTTAATGTCACTTATCAATTTTTTTATAATTCAATCTTTTCAAAACAATCTTTTGTCTTCCAAATCTTTTCAATGTTTGACTTTCGGAATCCAAATTAACGCAGCATCCATCCTTCCAAATTGTTGTATAAATGGTAGCACATCCTCCTTCTGTCAGATGTTTAATATTCTCAAATTGGTCATATTCAATCCATTCAATAACACAACATTCAATAACACAATGAGGTATTATAGTTTTTTGCTGACATTCTTGAATTTATTTATCAATTTCATTATTTCGAGATATCCAATTTCCAAAATCATTTTCTAAATATTTACGAATGCAAAATTCACAAAATAGGGTTGCTTGATGCCAATTCTGACAAATGTTAAATTTTGTTTTTCTACAGAATTATCCCCAATTCTTAATGCATCATATGTTTCCTGAATTTCATTAAGTAAAAAATTCTTTTCATTCTCGGTGAGAGATGAATCATTTTTAATTATGTTTTTTCGGTATTCTTCTTGCTCAGTATGTGTCTATGAATATTGGTATATAGATAATAAAATGTTTATTCCAAACACTGTTTAATTTCTCATCCCATTCAATTTTTTGAGCATTTATTTCTTATTTAATTTAAGTTAATATAATTTAAATGAATAAATAAATAAATAATATATAATTTATTAGATATAAATTATTTACAAATAGAAATATAATATGAAATTATCGTGGGTTATATTTTAATAATATAAGGTTTATTATTTAATTATTTATTAGTGATGGGATAAATGTCCGATAATATTAAAATTGACGAGTAGAGTTATATTGCGCAGGAAATTATACTAGGCAATTAATATTAAATTTAAATTTGACGAGAACGTTAGACCATGTGAGTTATTAAAATATAATATAATGTATGAGTAATAAGAAAACTGAGTGTAATATAAAATATAATTTTTATGCCAATGGAATAAAATAATTTAAATGAATAAATGAATAAATGGACGGGACGCAAAAAAGATAATAATATTTTGCTAAATTAATAATAATACAAAAAAAAAAGATCTACATTATTAAATAAATTCCGAATAACATTTTCGTGCAATCAAATAAATGAGCAAAAATGAATGAAGACGGATATTATATTATCAATAACCCAACGTTAATCTCAGACTTTTGAAATTATATTAAATCTTGTATTAACTAATGAATTTATTTACCTTTGTTATAATGTAAACTAGTGAGTAACGCTAACGGACTTGTAATATGTAATACAATACTAAATTATCATAAAACGTAAAATGGCAATATTCACTTAACGATTTTTTAAACGTACGATTTTTCAACGTAATTAGAGTTATATATATATTTTTACGATAATCTTTATTTTTTTTATTTTTTTTTATTACGTTATATTAAATATATATATTTATTTATATTTTAAATTAAAAACGTATTATTATTAATTAGACTAATTATTAATTATATTACTTATTATATTACTTATTATATATTGCTCAAATAAAATTATTTTATATAAATAGGAACCTTCCGAATAACAGTTTTACTGAAAGATCTCTCGGTATACAACTGTTCGCGTTTCGTTTTCTTTTTGGGGTGCAGTATAAGGATTTTTAAATTATTCTTTGAGGTGACTCTTGAACAGGCGACATAGAATTGCCCATGAGAAAAAAAACAGGGGTTGGAAGGTACAAACTAACCCAACGTTTTCACTTGGGGTTTACTAATCGTCATCCGAAAGCTGGTTGTACTGGAGTTTAAGAGTACATTGGTAAGTCGAAATTGGAAGGCGATATGGTTATTCGAGGTAGGATCCAGCATGTTTTCCAGAAATGATTTCTGTAACAATAACATGTTTTTATAGGAACGGCAAACCATTACAGAAGCTAATAGGTGGATGGATATTACATAACAACATAATTGACGATCCTAATTTTAAATCAATTTATGGGAAGGAAGATGATACTGTTATGATAATTGAGAAGATCTATATTTAAAAACTTCGAAACATATCAAATATCGGATCTAACCTACATATATTTATATATGTATATACAGTATAACGAATTTGAGTTAGTTTTTAAAATATTTAGATGAAAAAATTCATTCATACAATTATAAATTACCATATTTATCCATCATAATAAAGTCCTCGTTGAATAGCAAGAAATTCACCCGCAATGTATAGTAAGAATAATAAATAGTTTAAAAAAAAGGACCGATGTAACCAAAGATTTGTTCGTACAATATTAACAATGAAGCTCAAATATCTGTATAAAAACGAAATTGAATAATTAGATGTTTAGAAGTACAATTTCTATGTTTACCTTGATCATGCACATAGTAAATTTAATTATAAAATTAATATACTTACTTATTAAAGATTTGTGGGAAATTTTTATACTTTTTTTCAGTGACTTGTACAGATGAAAAAAAAAGAAATATTGTTAACTTGAATTTAAACGACCTGCATAATATAAATAAACAAAAAAAAACATAATAAATTTTTTAGGTGCAAATCTCCGTAATATTACGACACCTACGTATATTTTACTGTATTTATACGGGACGTTTTGAATTCAAACAAGAATATCGTGGCGGATATAGAACCAGAGCTTTCGATCAACAGAAATCGCTCGCTGTCTCATAAATCGAGATCGATGTCAAAAAAAAAAAAAAAGGATTTTTGGGTAAAAATTCCGGAGAAATTATGGAAAATTTTCACCTGTAATTTCCTCGGAATTTTTACGCAATTTTTTACGCAAAAAAAAATTGTTTTTTGACTTCGACCACAATTTATGATACAGTGAACGATTTTCTATTAAGGTATTCTTATAACCGATCGGCCTTGTTCTGTGCTACAATATAATATGGGTTTCATCTCTATAGCACCGATATCCGCCAAGGGATTCCCATTTAAATTCAAAACGGCCGTATACAGTAAATATACGTATTGTAATATTACGCCTAAAAAAAAATTTCTGATCAGGTCGCCGTTAAAGTGCAAATAAAAATTTTAATGTGTAAAAAATAAAAGTGTTATTAGTTCTATTATTTAACAGCACAAACAAAAGAAACAAACCGTTTCATCTAGTATCCAGTTCCACTCCAGTTCTTCTTTTAGGTTTTGATCAACGGTTGAACGATATTCGATACTGGATATACTACTTGAATGAAAAAGATTAGCGAGAAAGCATTAAGAAATAAAAGATATATTATGTATATATATATATAAATATCTTTTGTTTTTTAAATTTTTAAAATAAATATATATATATAAAACACCCGCCCCACCATTACGGCTGAGGAAGAAGCTCCCTCCCTCGCTTACTTCTGTGCGGGTCACCCGAACAATAACAATATAAGGAACAAAACAAAACACCAAAATCCGACCATCGCTCGTCCAGTATCCGGTCGTAGTCGATAATCATGTATATAGAATAAATTTAGTAAATTTGAATAATATATCGTATCAAAAAAACGATGACGAAATTTATATCGATATTTACCTGACTTATGCACCCAACCGGGGAATTTAATAACATGCTAATTTCACGATAAAGATTTTTACAGATAAAAAAAAAAAAGAAATGTTATTAGTTTTATGTTAACTAGATTTCAAAATGATTAAAAATTAAATTAATTAAGAAATAATACATGACCTGCATAACTTTTTGTTCTGATTTCAATGCAAACGAGAAACGTTGTTAGTTTTATGTTATTTGGCAGAAATTAAGCAAACAAACGAACTAATAAAGAAACAAATAAACGTGACCTGCATAATGGATAAATTTTAATAAGTTCATCCAGTAGTCCGGTCATCGCTCGTCGTGATTATTACCGTAGCGGGTCGTTAGGCCGATGTTTGTCCATTGTTGGATTCTAAAAAACAAAAAACGCACAAAATTGTATATTTTATATATTAAGATGAATTAATTGTTCGATTTTTTTATATTTATATATATATTTTTTTAATTCAAATAAATAATTCAAACGATAAATCGTAAATAGAAAATAATGCATAGATTTTTGTATTATTATAATTATAATTAAAGAATGTACAAAATTAGCATCTTTGTAATTCGAATGATAAAAATGACAAAATTAATAATAACAAATAAATAATACATACCTAACGAATTAGAATCCAACGCCATCAGGGAATATAAATAAATGAGAGGAAGATAACAACAACAACAACAGCAACAAAGGGCATAAATATCATTTGAAAGGATTCAAATGGAGAGTAAGAGATCTTATAATATATATATATATTTAATTTTTTTTGATTTTTTTTTGATTTTTTAATATATTTTTTTAATTGATTTATATTTTTTTTTGTTTTTTTTTGTTACTGAATCACCCATTAATCGGAAGTATTTCTTTTCTTGGATGATTCAGCTTGATTATTATCTCCATTATCATTATCCATTTCATCATGGCCCCTTTTAGTTCCAGAATTCGGAGCAGCCGATTGTTGTTGCTGCTGGATAAGCTGGTCTTGTTCCAATTGGAGTTGCTTGAGGTCATCCAATAATTGTTGCTGGTATTGTCGTTGTTGTTGAAGTAAAATTTGTTGCTGTTGGAGTAAAATTCGTTGTTGTTGCTCTGCTTTCGTTGGTCTTCCCCGTCTTCTTTTTGGTAATAAAGGTTGTTGTTTCGGTGCTCTACCTCGTCTTTTCTTAGGTGGTTCTGGAGCCCTTGGTAGTCTTGGTATTGGTATCTTTGGTTGTTGTTGTGCTGGTGGTAATGGTAGTGGTTGTTGTTGTTGAAGCTGAAATTGAAATTGAAATTGAAGTTGTTGCTGTTGTTGTTGCTGTTGTTGTTGCTGTAGTTGTTGTTGTTGTTGCTGTTGTTGTTGTTGTTGCTGTTGTTGTTGTTGTTGTTGTTGCTGTTGTTGTTGTTGTTGTTGCTTTAGTTCTTGAACTTTAGACTCAATAAATAATTTGTATTGAGCTCCAGAACTAGCGTTTTTGAGGCTATCTTCCTCCCATTTTTTTGCTTTTTGAAACTTCTCAGTATCAGATAATCCTGAGAGTTCCATGGTTTTGAAGAGGATAGCAACTATCCTCTTTCTGTTTTCATTTTTTATTAATCCTCTCCAAGTTTGTTTCATAGTTGAAGAAGAAGATTGTTCTGACATTTTTGCAAATATATTTTTAAGCAAGTGTCAGAGTTTTGTGAAAGAGATCTGAAAAATTATTTTTTCAAAAATATCAGCTATTTATATTAATTGATTGTTTATTTGTTTTTGGTTATTATTTTTAACGCGACGTGTCAGCAAATGCATATTAATAAATAATAACGCATCAGGTTAAGTCGATAATTGCCGATCGTGGCCAATAAAATGTCAAGATCAAGTAGAATGTCTTGTGATTTTATTGGCTACGATCAGCAATGATCGACATAACCTGGAAGACATGCGTTACCGCATAAATTTATTAATTACAATTTATAATGGAAAATAATTATTAAAGATAATAATTAATGACTATAACAATACAATTAATAATTCATATTTAATAGTAAGCATAGAAATAATGTATTCTTTAAAATTTATTAATGTAAAGTTGTGAAATATATGATAAATTATTACAATTATTTTTCTTATTTCAATATTAAATTATGATCTATATATTCGCGTTGAATTATCATCGTATAATCCACTAAAGATATTAAATATATTATTCAATCATTTGTTTGTTCTAAATGCTTGTAATTTTACATTCAAGCCACAAAGCTTAGGAATGACTTCATCCTCGATGTCTTAATGAAGGAATTGAATAATTGAATATTCACACTTATACTAATCCCGATGAAGGTATATATAAATAGACAGACAGATATAAATGTATATGTTATTTGAAATGAATATATATATATTATCAAAATAAACAACTGTCATTTAAGGTTATAATTATTAAAATTTGCAAGTAATAACTTGCAATAATATTAATATTGGAAATATGATATTAGAATATCAGGAAGGAAATCAAAGATAAAAATTAATATAATGTTCCACTAAAATTATTAAATATGTATGGTATGATTAGTGTAACATCTGATTTTAGTAATTTGGATTGGGTTATATATACCCTGAAGCATAGACTAATGGATCTCTGATCACCTGCCGAAAGGATCTATACCTGGGGTACCGATTAAGGGTTCTCGTAATAGATGTCATAATTATGTACTTAAATATTACCTAAATATTGCTTAAATCTAGAATTAAAAAAGTTAAAAATATAATAATTTAAACTCATTTTTATATTTATTCTATTTTAAATATTTCAGAATTTTAAGGAACCATACTTAATCCATAAGTCTTTCCTTTCCTAAATGAGAATTTCAATTACAATTTCACCTAATAATGACCTTCTTCATTACATTTTGTGCTTTAGAACATTATACAGTAATCTTGTTGTGTAATCAATATATTTTTATCCTAAGGAAATAATTTAATATTTATTCATATATTATCGATTTTAAAAATATGAAATAAAATGGAAAATAAAAAATAAAACTATTTTAAGGTACAGATAAATTTAATAAAAACAAATATAAAGTTATAATTCATTATATTGAGGCTTTAATATAGGAGGAAATGATAAAGATCAGCAATAAACATTAAACATGAAAATAAAAAATAAAAACTTCATTTTAGATTGTTACAATTTTAATAGACACTTAAACAGATAACCATGAAAACACTAGTAACCTATTTTCCGTAGCAGTATATAATAATATCTTAATTATTATCGCTCTTTGCAAAATTATGCGGTCATGTGATAAAACGATCTACTAATAAAATGCCGAAAACCAGTGATTACAAAATACGTGTCATATGAAAAAATTTATATTACATATTAATAACTAAATTAAAATGCATGGAATAATAGACGAGTGTTTAGAGTAATTATTTGTTATGTTTTGGATTTTTTTTGAAAACTTTCTTATAGTAACTTTTTGCTGATTACAAAATAAGGTAAAAACGATTACTTATAGATTACCTCCGATTACCAAACATTATTGAAGTTGTTTTTTAATTTTATTAGCAAAAAATAGTTATTTATATTGTCTTTTAACATATTATTTGATAATATATATTGTCTTTAACATATTATGTGATAAATATATTCATAATATATTTTTTTTTCTTTAGAAATAATATGGTTCGTGCATTGAGTGAAGATTTACGTTGGAGAATAGTTTATTTAAACTCTGATGGATATAATGTACAAGAGATATCTAATCTTTTACATATAAGTAAATCTACTGTAAATAAAATACTTAATATTTATAGATGTTGGGCATGTGTAGTTAATCCTTTAAAAAAAATTTTGGGTAGAAAAAAATTATTTACACGTAAAGAGATGGATATTTTAAAATCTCTAGTACAAAATAAAGTAGATTGGTATTTGGATGAATTAGTATTTGAGATGGAAAATTATACAAATAAAAGGGTTTCAATATCAACATTGTGGAGAACTCTGAAATATATTGGAATAACTCGAAAAAAGGTATTTTATTATTATTATTTATAGTATTTATAATTATAATAATAACTAATAATTTTTTATAGCTTCACAAAGCTGCAAAAGAAAGAAATGAACTTGTTCGTGCAAATTTTATTGCAACTATTGGAGAAGGTTATAGATCAGAACAATTAATATTTATTGATGAAAGTGCAAAAGATGAACGAGTTTTATCTCGCTTTTATGGATATTCTCCTGTAAATACTCGTGCACAAAAAAAAGTAATTTTTGTACGTGGAAAAAGATATACAATATTACCTGCTCTTTCTCTTGATGGATTTATTGCAATGGATATATTTGAAGGAAGTTGTGATAGAAATAAATTTAGTAATTTTATTTTAAATCAATTGGTAATTTATTATTTTTTATTATTTTTATTTATTATTATTATTTTTATTATTTTATATTATTTTTTATATTATTAAATTTTATTAGATTTTTTTATATTTTATTATTTTTTATTATTGTTATTAAAAAAAAATCTAATTTATTTAAATTTTTTAAATAATTTTAGTTACAAGTTATGAATCCATATCCTGAAAAACATAGTGTAATTATAATGGATAATGCACGTATTCATCATGATGCTGAACTTATAGAAACAATTGAAGCATTAGGATGTAGAGTTATTTTTTTACCACCTTATTCACCTGATTACAATCCAATAGAAACTGCATTTTCTACAATTAAACTTTGGATTAAACGTAATCAAACATTTATGGAATCTTGTAATGATCCAATATATGCATTACATGCAGCATGTGCACAAATTACAACAGAAATGGCTAAATCATTTTTTACATCATCAATATATTGTAACATGTAATTATTATAATAGAATAAATGCCAATGTAATAGCTGCTACCTCAAAAATCAAGTATGTAATTTGTAACATGTGTATAATTATGTGAATTTAATACATGATCTTTTTTTTTTTATTTATTTATTATTAAAATGAATCTGTTTCTTATTTTGAAATAATTAATTTTGTCAAAGTAAATTGG